CCGATTTATTAGACCATTTAAGATCTTGAAGAAGATTGGGATATCCGCCTACAAGATAGCACTACATCCAATCCTAGCCGCAACCAGTTCGTCAAAAAAGAAGATGAAGGGCGGTCGGAAGAGAAGCCGATCACCGTCGCCACCGCATTAGAGACCAAATCGACGTTGAAAGGCGAGTGTTTTTTTTCCCACTTACTCTTTTTTTCCATTTTAAGCCACCCCAAACCCTTATTGACGCCGAGAAACCAAAGGAGAAACTAGAAACAAAGGGCGGAGCTTGACTAAACTGCCACACTTGAAACTAAAAAATCCCTCCGGTAAGCCCGAATCCTCTTTTCGTTCCCTTCTATTTTTTTTATCATAGGTTATCTAACATATTTTTAGTGCATAAAAATCGAAGGAGGACCGCGATCACGAGGGAAGAGTGGCTGAGTCGTCGCACCGAAAACTCTAAACCGCTGATAAGTTTCGATTCTCCTCCTTTTTCCACTATCAGAAGCCACATAACTCCAAATCGCGCAGATTTTCACCCCGAACTGATCAAAACTAGCTTAATCGAGAGGGGGAGCCGTCATAGGCAGCGTAACCGACACCGGAGCACGACGGTGCTGTCGTTCCACAACCTTAAATCGGTCCTCAGGAGAATTTTGATCCTTTTTTGCCGTTTTTGTGTGTATTTCCGTGATATTTGACGTATATTTTTGTTTTTACAAAAAAAAACCCAAGAAATTTAGGAAGCAAGAATTGCTAGAAAGTATAGTGAAAAAGGTGGTGTTTCGGACACCGACCCGGAGTAAGGATCTTTCACATTTTTTTCTGTTACGATAAATTGAAGTTAAAACAATAATAAATGGTAGTTTAGACAGTTTTGTGATTCATTGACAATCATACAGGTTGCCGATGGAGCTAGTAAATTAATTGAATTTTTGTCCGTTATTAGGTTTATTTTACTTGTCATTCTCTATTTCATTTGTACTTTTATTTATGAGTTCATTTTCTTTATTTAACTATCTTCGAATTATTTATTTATTTATTTTATTTATTTCCATTCCGTTAGTTTATTTCGTTATGTTGTCTTGTGTTATTTTGTCTTAGTTTATTCCCTTTTGTTTCATCCTCATATTTTATTTTATTTTAGTTTATATACGTCTTATTTTATTCATTTGGCCTATTTATTTACATTAAAAATTTCTATCCTATGTTGCCTCCCCGTTCCACTATTGATTACGATTTTATCTCTATTGGTTACCAAAACACGAACTACATGCCCTTTTTTGATTAATATATAATCTCATGACTGCTGATTGCTTGAGTAACAATGAAACATATATGTGCATGAAATAGTGACATGAATTAAAGGGGCTTACTAGGTGTCATAAAAAAAGATCTACGGACCTAGTACATAGTGTAAACCCTACCGTGGACGTTATCCTCAGTCGAACAGGGCTGAGGAATGTCATATTGGAAGAGGTTGGGAATTGTTTGATTACACTCATTACCGAACAGGTTGAAACGGAATGTGTTTATCGCTCATTATTGGACGGAATATGGGGACAGTCTGTTGATTTATAGAATAAATACTTAGTTCACGTGTAGTGGGAACCCCTATGGATCCCCAACGGCACCGGTAAGTAAGTAAAAAGGTAAGGGTTGATTACTATTGTTCCTTAAAATGTATGATGTGAATTACTATTTTGGTTTTTTCCTTCATAAATGGTATCTGGGAACTTAAAGGTAAGGGAGGAATGAATGTTTTCAAGCTAAATGAATTTACTTAAGAAAGAAAAATAAGTTTCATTGGTTGTTTTATGATTTCTACAAACCTTTGATTTTTTCATATCGATGGTAAAATATTGATATTCTTACTGAGTTAGTGTAGCTCACCTCCTTATTATTAGTTATTTCAGATCAGGAAAATTAAGATCCGGATCCTGAACAGTAAGAAAATTAGCATAAATGTTGCTTCTCATTTTCTCAGTTATGCAGTGGAGGTTGATCACATAGGTTTTCGGTTTGTACTTTTTTTTTTTATATATTTTTTAAGGGATATTTTCGTAATCTTATTGGACATTTCAATTAAACTGTAAAAGAAATATAATCCCAAATTCTAAATTACTTCAGCAAAACTAATAAATTTTAATAATATTATTTAACTAAATGCGAACTTTTACGGAGATACTTGAGAAAAATGTCTCTATTGGCTAGCAAATGACTTCGGTAGTAATAAGTTATTAGATTAAAAACATTACAAACTCGAAATTCTCAATTTCAAAACATGACATATTTCACACATTGCATATGGTGATTCTACAATAATATATATGATCAAGTTTAAATAAATAAGATGAGAATTATCTCTACCACCATAGCTCCTTAATTCTCACTATATTAAAGTTATTCTCACTATATTAATATTTTAACATTAGAAAATACATTTAAAAATATGAGAAAAGATAAATACATTGTATTAGCTTAGGTAGATAATTACAATCCAAAATCACTTTTTATTGTAAGTATTATATAAGTTGATGCAATGTCTTGATACTACGTATTCAAAAAGAAGTGATGTCTGTCTGGTAGTCAATTCATGGTGGTTGATGCTTTGGAAGCATATGTTAAACGTGTTTTCGTTACTTTTAATCTATGCATGCTTCAAAAGTTCTTTCTGTACACCCCTCCCTACCTGGAAGCAAAGTGCCAGCGGTGCACCACATAATTATTTATATATATATATATATATATATATATATGTGCACGTACACGCGCATATATACATATATATACACATTACACATATATAATTATTCTCAAGTCTACCTTGAAATGGACACCTCACATGCCGATCACCAGACTTCAAATCTAAATAATTCAATTATATTTGTAATACATAATTTTATTTTATTTACCTTAAATTAAACTCATTGTAGATTAATTTTAAGGGGCAAATCGTGAAGATAATGAGTAGTTATACTAATAATTTTTTTTTAAAAAAAAAAAAAAGGTTTAAGGGTATTTTTGAGTCAGCCTTACGCAATAAAATTAAAGTTCTTTCATTTTTGGCAAAAAAAAAATTATCAATGATGAGACATGAGAATTTAGAAAGAGAATAATTACATTTTGTTACAAAAGAATAATTTTTTATTTTTTTTACCTATAAATTAATTTTTATTTACTACTAGCAAAGTTATTAACAATTATTAATAATAAATAAAGATATTTAATACAGGTATTTTAAGAGCAAATAATACGTGCATGTACCAACAACAGTGTTTGATAATTAAAATTTTTAAAAATTATAAATTTAAATTAATTTATATTATTCGTTAATTAAAATTTTTATATTTTATTTAAAAATTATTAATTTAATTCATTGATAATATATAATTAAAATTAATTTATAATATTTAATTTAATAAGAATAAAAAATTAGTTCATTAATATATTTATGGTGTTGTGATGATTAAATTAAAATTTAATAAATATGTAAAAAACAATTTGTACTCACGTATGAACGTTTGAATACGCACGTTAAATTTAACAGAAAAAAAAAATATATATAAAGAAAGAAGAACAGTGCAAGTTAAATTGGTTATGATGTTGAATGGCGGAGGAAAGAGAAAAGAGACGACGTTTATCGATTCATGTTGGCGTATTTGCAATTAAACACAAGGGTAAAAATGGTATTTCACCCATGTCTTCTCGCTCATGTCGGTGCATTTTTGGCAAGCAAATCACCTCCCCCAAAAAAAAAAAAAAAAAAAAAACATTTAATGAGGTTCAAAACTTTTCACCCAATTAACTGATTAATAATCATTATTAATAATTTTAAAAAGAATCAAAGATTTTAATCCAACTGTTTACTTGGTATACTTTTATTTAAAAATTATCTGTATATATTTATTTAATTAATTTAAAATATAAAATTTTGTTGAATTAATTAATTAATTGTTTGCTTTTTAAATCGTTATTAATATTTATTTTTTTTTAAATTTCAATCAGTGGATGATATTTGTAAAAGTATGATATGCTACATGAAACTTTTTGTGCCACCAAATGTGGTAATTAACAGTGGCTTGGCCACGCATCAAACCTATAATTCAATCAATTTATAATTAAAATTGATAGAAAAAGGTAATTTACAAGAATATTTCTTAATTTAAATGTATTTAGTGTAAAACTAAATTATTATAAAATAACACTTAATTCAGGTTAGGAGTTAGTATAAAACTAACAATTACAAGTTAAAAATAATTTATTAATAAAATAAAGTCCAAGAATATTTTTAGAATCATGATTAAATTAAATACATATTTATAAAATAAAAATAATACAAAGTGAAAACTAAAAGTGGAAGTAGAGTAGTAGAGTGAAAAAATGATCGTCAAATTAAAAAAAAAAATACATATTCCGTACGTGACACTATTTAATGTAATATATATAATTATATAATAGTAATAATATTTTATAGGAAAAATAATAAATTACTTAATTTGATTTAAATATAAAGAATATTTATTTAAAAAACAAATCACATAAATTTAAATATTTAATGCACAAAAGTTTAAAATTTTATGCTTAAATAATAAAATATAGTATTATTATAGTAAAATAAATATAAAAAAATATTGCATTGACTTTTTCTATATTTTAGTCATGCAATTGTATTGGCCAATCTATTTGATTCGCTATAAAATTTTATTTAATATAAAAGTATACTTGTGTGATTGGAATAATAAACTTGGCAATTTGAGTTTAATGGCATGTATTGAACCCCGGGTTCGAATCCTGTCCTCATCCGTCTCAAAGTAAAAAAGGAGAAAAAATGGTTATGGCTATTATATTATGAAGGGTCTTGTTCTTGGCCGCACTGAGTTTTGCAGCAGCCAGGTGCTTTGAATTCATAATACATTTTCCCGAGAAACAAACAAACAAAGAAACAAGTATAACACCAAGAACACAGATAGTAGGATGGAGATAGATAATGGGAAGGAGATTCGATGTGATAAACAAGTATATATACATTGAATAACAGAAGAAGAAAGAAAAAAGAGCTATTTTTACTTGTTTAGCTTAAAAAATCCTACTGCTCTTCACTAATTATCCCATACAAAATCTCCATTGCACAAATTTAATTATATTATTATCATTATGGATCATTAACATTATTGCTAATACACAAAAACACTTGCCTATTTTACACAGGGAGCCTTAAAAATTATGTCCCAAACAGCCTACATCTGCCATTAACAACTTACCTCAACATCTCAATTACCTTCTTTCAGGCTTCTCCAACTTTTGATGTTAATGCAATCCTCAGCTGCTCCTGCGTGTAAAACCGGCTACCCATCTTCACTGTTGCTTGCTGGATCATCAAATCGTTTACTACTGATACACTCGCGTGATGCACATCCAAGTCCAGCTCTTTCAGGGCCGCCATCAATCTTGCTGCCGGATGGTTCTTTTTACTGCACTGAATTCGTATCATGGCATCCCATCCTATTATTTTCACATCTACGTCTATTTCGATTGATTTTGTACCCGCCTGGTTCGACATCTTGAGCTCTTGATCACCTGGTGGTGGACACGGACGGGATTCTTTGTTTCCGAATTCTTTCTTTATAGCCTCTAATTGCTTCTGCAAATCTTCCTTATCGGATTCTGCACTTTGTAGCTTTGTTCTAAGCTCGTTGATGTAGGAAATGGCGTCACCAAGAAGTGACGCCTTGTCCATTTTGGACACGTTAGGAACCACTGCGCGTAAAGCGTAGAACCTCTGGTTCAGCTTCTCTCTTCTTTGACGCTCTGCTTCCACATGATTCAGCGGTTCTTCTCTGCCATTCGCAGGTTTTCTCCCTCGTTTTCGCGGTCTTTTCTCAGGCTCCACAACTCTTCCACTGTCTGCTTCTTTAACAACCGAGGCTTCGAGATCTGAATGATCAGAATCGCCAGCACCGGCGCTCGATCTCACACCAGAAGAAGGTAAAATCACACCCGAGGTGAACGAAAGCATTCCTTCTTCGTTGCTCCCTCTCGACGTGGGGGATCTCTTCTTCTTGTTCTCCTCCGTCACCACCGAAGGTTGACCTGAAAACAAGTTCCCGTTCGCATTCGAAGAGCTCCTCTTGCTCTCACCGAAGTTCAAAATCTCCCCCGATTCCGGTCTCAACATATTCGAATCCCCATTTCCAACGTACCCACCTTGGGAGAAATTCAATTCTCGCGAAATGTAATTCTGGGTCTGTATTTGCTGCGTCGGCTGATGATTTTGAGTGTGAATAGCACTAGGATTCTCAGTTAAACTGCTTGAGCTTGGATTCTCGAACTGAATATTCTTAGAAATCTGCTGGTGGTTATTGCTATTACCTGGACCAGACGAATTCGAGTTGCCTCCGTGCAACGAGTCTTTGATTTCGATCCCACCCGCCGGCTCACTGATCCACAACGAAGGATCGTTCTCACCCTGATCTGGGTTTGAACTCATGGACCAAGGTCCTGCATCCACGCCACTGAAATTGAAAAGAACCCGGACCTTATTCATTAGATCCGAACTCTGGATAATCAACTCTGTCGAGCCCAACTCCACTACTCCATTCGCCGAGGGTATGCACACCATGGTCTGCAGACCAAACACCTGACCCTGCCTGGCCCGCTCGCATCCGGACGTTGCCAGACGCTCCGACCCAGCTACCCATACCGGCTGCGAATTGAACAAAGCTTGACCCGGCAATCCGCTGCCGTTAACAAAGCTCTGAGTCATCGACACCAAAAAGAACCATTCGGTGTCGGTAACCTCCTCATCGACTGCATCATCAGAGGTGGCAGCCGGACCGGAAATCAGAGAGTTAAGCTCTCGGAGAACTTTCTTACGGTGCTCCTGTTCGGCAAGTGATGAAGGAGTAGAGGAAGACTTAGATTTCGATTTGGCCTTATCCTCTTCGCCTTTGTAGTAGCCATCGCCCCAGCCAAGGACGGAGGCCCCGGAGTAATCGTAAGAGGACTGCCAGAAGATGGCGTAGGTCCAGCTCTCGCGAGCACCCTCAATCAACGCCTGTAGCCGCTGCTGCAAGGTCTCCTGGTTGAACACCGAAACGGAAGAGAGCTGCGTCTGCGAGAGAGATTTAGCCGCGTCGGGTGCGGGCGTAGAGGTTGAAGCAGAAGATTGTGGGGGTGGCCAGAGAGCAGATAGGTCAGAGCTCATGAAAGCTTCCATGACAGAAGCGTTATCGTCTGTCCAGAGATTCATGGTCGGCGGCAGTACGTAATCCGTCATTCCATGAAGTAACTGACCGCTCCGGTGAAAACACAGGCGATTTTGGTGGGTGGAAAGTAGCGAGGAAGGAGAGAGAGAGAGAGTGGAGATAAGAGGGGAACGACAATTTAGGATGCATTTGGATTTGGAATTTATTTGAGATGAATTTCAGATGAATTTTATGGAGCTTTCATTTTCAAGCGATAAGAAAAAAAGGTCGGCGCGTTCTGAGAAAGAGACACCGATTAAATCGTCTTGGAATAGAGCTGGCTGAGCCGGCGTCGGGGTAGTAAGGTTTGGGGGCGGGGGGGAAACGCACGTGAGTCGCACATGCAATGGACACATAGACTGGACTGACATGGCTCTCAAAACTTAATTTAAATAAGCTCTTCCGGTCAATTAATTCAGCTCCCCGGTCTTTTTAGAAGTGTTTAATTGTCTCAAGTTATATAAGAAGAAAGTTTCCAATAAACCTTATCCATATCAGACGTAGTACACCCGCCGGCTGCATGTAACTAATATATGTTCACTTCTTTGTTTTTTAATTTCATTTTACATAAACAAATCTTTTATATCTAAAGTATTATCTATTATTTATCATTTTAAAAAAAAATTACTAGTGATTATCATATATCACATTTGTTATTTTCTTATATGACTTTTAAAATATATTAATTATTTAGCTAAGATTTAAATATTACTAAAATATAAAAAATAATAGTATATAATCTACTATTTTTTATCTACAAATCTATTTGAAAATTGTATTTTTAAAATTATATCATTTTTTAAGGAAAAAATAAAATTGATTTAAACACAATTAAGATACCGCATATCTAGCAACAATGCATGTTACTTTTATTACAACCTCCAACATTCTGATACCAAAAAAAAAAAAAAAAAAAAGATAAAAGAATATGATAACAAAAAAACATCTTCAATAAATATCTAAATTTTTAGATATGGTAGAGAAGTAGTTTGAAGAAGCTTGTAAACATATAGGGTAATTTCTTTTCATAATAATATGAGCCAACCTAAACCCCCCCCTCCCCTACCAAGTTGTAACCCATTTATCAAAGTTTAAAGCTATGTAAAATCAATACAAGAGGGGTGACAATTATGCATTGCACAACTCTAAAAGAAATTACCTAGTCCATCCATCCATCCATTTTAAGAATTCATCAACATTAAGTTTATACTTTTCATGAGGCAGTGGCATCCAACATAAAGTGGCCATATTGGAAGTACTCACTTGAGAATACACCTATATCCCGAGTAAAAGGTTGTAAAAACCTTATTTGCATTTATGTAAAACTTTGAAGCTCTAAAATCAATTTTAAAGGGTCAAAGAAGTTTTCATGATGTTCCTACTAATTTTGAATTTACCAAGTTCCATATAATCTATATATAAACCATTTTAAACACCCACTTGATTAGTATAAAGGTACACCCTTGCCCAAACATCAAATATTGGTCAAATTTAATGGAAATATGATAAATGTTTTCTTCTCCCTCTCCATACGTAGGGCATATAAGATTAGCTCTCATGCCTTTTTACACCAATTTAGACTGTACTGATAAAATATCATTCACAATTCTTCACATTAAATGTTTCATCATATGTAAGATTAGAGCATTACAATCATATATGTTCATGATGGATCTATGTAAAAAGGGACCACTAAAACCATTTTGGTTCTTCTTCCACTTCATGAGATACCCTAACTTGACCCTGTAATCATTACTTTTCTCGTATATCCACATTGGCTTATCCGAAGGCAACCTATAACTTAATGGCAAACTTTTGATCACTAAACATTATGAACGTTAAACAATTAGTGAATTAGCGACCGATTCTACATATGGTCATTAAGAATAATTACATCATATATGAACTCTACAATTATACTCATTGCCCTAGTTGTCAATGCTCAATTTCCCAATTGTATTAAAAAAACATTTATTTATCCATATCTTCCCATTTCTCACTTTTTTCTTCAACTTTTCTTTTAGCAGATCTGTACCTGCTAGAAGACTATGCCAATAGTAATTTGGCATAACACCCAAATGTGTCAATAGGATGTATTTTCTTATAATATATTTAGTTTTCAATAATTTGAACATTAAAGGTTTTAGTTTGATACTAACTTCCAAGCCTTGTTAGTTGACATAACTAAATTTGAATTAATCAACAAGGTAATAGTGTTACCTTTTTTTCAATAGCTAGATGCTTGTGTTTTTTAACTCAAATATCTCCAAGAATGATCATAAATTAACTTTTGACTCATTCATAATTCCTGGAAGCATAATAAATTGTTAGTATTTAATATCAAATTTTTTTGAGCCTACGAGGGTTAGTGGCAAATCTTTCTTTCAAAACTCATCTTTTTCACACCATAATGAGTATTTTTCTTTATGAAACATGAATGTTAAATATGATATTTTCTACCACAAAAAGTAAAATAATAGAAGAATTATTTGAGTTAGTAGATTTTATGAAGAAATTTTTAAGAAAATTTTGATTCTTAATATGACCATATCCAAGTCCCGCATTGTCATATACAATTTTTTTGTCTTGCCAATAACATGTTTAATTTTCTCTTCCTTGTACAAACTTGAAAAGTGTGTCATTCATGTCTTCAATCTTCTTTCTCAATACAAGATTTTCATTCATCAAGTTTGCACAGTCCAATTTATCTATTTTTGTTGTCAATTCATTATTTTCCCTTTTAAAAAATTTTCACCTCTTTACAAATGAGTGATGCATGTTTCTTGAGCTTGACATTCTTCATAGTCACTTTTATTAATTCACTATAAACATATTCAAAGGCATCTTATAATTCATCATAAGAGTAAATAAGGAAAGAGTGTATCTCATTTCTTCTTTTATCCATGGTCATGAGACACAAGTTGACAACTTCATTTTTTTCATAATCTTTAAAGCTACTCTAATCACATTGTCTTCTTTTTGAACTTGTTGGAGGTCTTTTTGGCTTAAGGGAAATTGACTATCATGTGTCGCAGTTTATTGCACCTATAGCAAATCATGGTTTGCTTTTTGTTTGACTCTCCCTTAGGTAGTAGTTTTTTTCCACCAAGCTTCTTTCTTTTTACGAAGCTTCTAAATCTTCTTGTGATCAACACCAGTTCTTCATCATCCTCATTTTCATCATCACTCTTCTCACTTGGAGTTGAAGATTTTGGTGTTATGACTTTCTTCTTATTATTTTCTTCCTATTACATCCTATTTATCGTGAGTTCATTAGTGAGAAGTGATCAAAAAATTTCATCAAGGCTCAATTTATTAAGATCCTTGACTTCTTGAATGTCAATTACCTTAGCGTTCTTTGACTTTGGTAAATGCCTAAAAACCTTTCTCAGTAATTCAGCATTAATGTAGATTTTTATAAGAGATTTTAAACTATCAATGATGTCGGTAAATCTAATAAGCATATATGTGATGGATTCACTTTCACACATTTCAAAAAGTTTATAATTATACACTAATATATTTATTTATATTCTTTTATTTGATTTATTCCTTCATTAATCACTTCCAGTTTATTCTAAATCTCTTTAGTCGATTCATAATTTGATATTTTGTATACTTATTTACATCAAGTTCATAATGTAAAAAGTTTGTTGCCCTAAGGTTTAATTATACTAGTATATTGTCAATCTAATCCCACTTATCTTCTAATTTTATTACTACTTAATCCCCTAAGCTTCTAGAATGAATATGTAGTCTATTTACAATGATTTTATGAGATTATAAGTCGATGCTTATATAAATATCTTTATTTTATTCTTATAATAATTGTAATGAGTATTATTAAACAAAGGAGATCTATTGAAGATTGACCTTCACTTAGTTGGGTTATCATAAATGATCTTTGTTCTAAACAATTAAGTCATTAGCGACTCTAATATTAATTGTTGGCTCATCATTTAAAACAACCCAAGAGAGGAAGTGAATTGCATTTAAAATTTTTTAAAGATTTTTAAGCAAGTTTCTCGACTTTCTTTTTAATATCATATATGGTCTAAATTAAAAGAGTATTAATATGTGAATATCTTTAGTAATTATTACGTGTAGAGTGCCTTAATAATGATGGACTTTATACTTTGTAATTCAATTATCAATAATGATAACAATGATGTAAACAAGTGAGAATAACTTGTATGCTTTATCATTAAATTCTTAAGTATGTATATAAGATGCGAGCTACGATATGATATCAAGTAATAGTAAACAATGAATAAAGTAAAAAAAAAAAAAACATAGTGCGAACTCTTCTGTAAAGGTTATGCTACATAAGTAGTAATTACAACCAAGCCAATCACTTGATATTCTACTATTTTCTTCAGAGTTTTATTATATACTAGTTGTTCACAGTGCCTATTTCACCAAAAACTTGTCCATTCCTCACACGAAAACTCGTACTTAAACCTTTATTACATTGTTAATTATTCTTGATGCCCAACTCATTAGTCAACTAGTTGTTCTTGATGTCTAACTCACAAATTCGTTAGTTATTAATGATGTTTAATTCATTAATAAATTGTATTTTCTCAACACAAAAGCTTTCAAAAAATTTCTGAAACATTTCTTATAGTACCTTCAAAATTTTAGATAAAAAGTTTATAACTGTCCCTCTTAAAAAATAAATTTACAAATAAAAAATACACTTACGACTCAATAGAGGCTTAAGAGAATGAAAGAAAATTAAAAGCACACTTAGGGTTCAATAGAGACTCAAGAGAATGAAAGAATATTCTCTTTTTATTTTCATATTTGAGCTCAAAAACTACTTACAAAATTTATTGGAGTATGTATTTCTCAAAATAACCATTAGAGACACATTGAAGTTAGTTTTGATGTTAAGAAGGTGTTGCAAAAACGTTAGTTAAAATATGCAAAAATTCTTGTATGGTGTGTCATGACAAAATCATTTACATTTATAGCTAACCTGACAAGGACAACATAATTATAAAAAACACTATGACCTTTTAAAATACTATTTTTTTTTTCTAACAACACAATGATATTTGATTGATATTTTGAAAATATTTTTTTCTACTACATTTAACATTGGAAAAGATATTTTGATATGAAAACCTAAGTGATTTATATAGATATA